CCCTCCTCCCTCTCCTCCCCCTCCTCCTTCTCCCCTTCCTCCTCCTCCTCCTCCTCCTTCTCCTCCTCCTCCTCTAGATCTCTCTTCTGCAGCCGCTGGCGGAAGGCCCCTCGGGTTGTTTAAATGGGGAGCACCCCACTTTGCTGTACTGATTGCCGCGGAAGACTGGTTTCTATCACGGGTACTTCACCGGGTCCCGGGTCCTCACCGCAGGCAGTGCGTTTCTGGGCCCCTGTGTCTGAGCAGGTCATCTTCCCGACCGCAGTTAGAAGTTTACGGCCTTGAGAGACAGAAGGATTCTCTCTTATCATTGATGTTTCTACCCCCCCCCTCTCTCTCTCCTTTCAATAAAAAAAATATATATTTAAAAAATAAAACTGCTATGGGTTTTCATAGATGGCTTTTATGATGTTGAGGTAGTTTCCTTTCATTCACACTTTTTGAGTGTGTTTATCACGAGAGCATGTTGGATTTTGTCAAATCCTTTTTACGCATCTATTGAGATGATTTTAACCCTTCATTCTGTTAACACTTAAAGGACCGGTGCGCAGATTTGTGCACACGCAAAGGAAATTGATTAGGAGGTGGCTGGTGGGGTGGGACTGGGTGAGAAGGTCCTTCCCCAGCCGGCTGCCCTTGGGGTGGTGCCGAGGCCGGACGGGCGTCGGCAGAGTCAGCAGGGTCCCTCGGCAGATGGGGTTCCTCAGCCTGACCTGCCGGGATTGGGCCCAAACCGCAGTGTGTGTGTGTGTGTGTGTGTGTGTGTGTGTGTGTGTGTGTTTATTTCTTTCTTTATTTTTTTGAGGCCCGGTGCATGAATTCGTGCATGGGTGGGGTCCGGCCAGGGGAAGGGGATATGGGCGGTTGGCCAGCCTGCCTGCTGGTTGAACTCCTGGTCGAGGGAACAGTTTTGCATATTAGTCTTTTATTATATAGGATAGACACTGCGTGGCCAGATTGTTATGTGTTCAGCGATCATCATAATCTGGCCACTCGGTGTACATAGATAGTTATTTTACATTGATACATTTTCATGTGTTGAGTCATCCTGGGTTTCAGACATAAACCCCACATTGTCATGGTGTATTACCCTTTGAATAGGCTGCTGAATTTAGTTTGCCAGTATTTTGCTTTGGCTTTTTGCATCTATATTTATCAGGGAGATTGGTCTGTAGTTTTCTTTGGCTTTTCTATCGGGGTAATGCTGGCTTAGAGAGTGTTTCCTCCTTCATTTTTTAAATTTTTTTCTTCTTTTTAAAAAAAATAAATCTTTATTGCTCATATTATTACAAATGTTCCTCATTTCCCCCCCCTCCATTGCTCCCTTCCACCAGGTTCCCACCCTTCACTCTGCCCTTTCCCCACCCCCCATTGTCCTCATCCATAGGTGCACAGTTTATGTTCAGTCTCTTCCCACATCCCCCACTCCCCTTTTCCCCAAGAATCGTCAGTTCACTCCCCTTCCATACCGCTGATTCTATTATATTCACCAGTTAATATTGTTCATCAGATTTTTTAATTCCCTTGGTTTTTAGATTCACTTGTTGATAGTTACGTATTTGTTGTTCATAATTTTTATCTTTATTTTCTTCCTCTTCCTAAAGAACCCCCTTCAGCAATTCATATAATTCTGGTTTGGCTGTGATGAACTCCTTTAGCTTTTTTAAAATTTTATTTGTGAAG